GGGGGGGGGGGGGGGGGAATACACACACAGAAAAATGCAGATTGATAGGGTTTCACCCTTTATGCGAGACGGTGTTGCTTTGAATCTCCCTTTATTTTAGCTTTTAAAAAAATAGTTACATTTTTTTTTATAAAGAGTAGAAAACTAGGTTGACCTAATAAAGAAATATGAATGTCTAACAACTAATTGAACAGTACTAGTAATGCTCTACACAGTCAAAAATTAAGGTCATATGCTTGAGTAGAGAATCAAATATTGATCAGAACTTATCTTGTATTTTTCCATACATGGACATTTTTCAAGTATGCGTCTATTAGTTCGTATTTTTACTCCTACTTTCCCCAAAACAATTTCTATTGAATCTGGGTTCAGAAATCCTTGCTTCCGCAAGCGGAAATGCATTTATAATTACCAAAAGAACACAACTTCTACATGTAAAAAATTTAAGCCACATAAGCAAATGAAAAGCTATGATTGAACTTGATTTTTTAAAAAGTTAGTGAATACTTCTGAAAAAGGAACATTATCTACTCATATTCTAACAAAAAGGTAATTTAAAGAAAAGGCCAACATGTTTAGATAAAAAGTAACTTTTAAAGCTTCAAACATGCTTGGCTAAACTTAAAACTTATCATTTTTTAGGCTCACACAAATATGCTCTGTACTAACCCATGGAAAAGAATTCTTCCGAATCGTGCAACCAGGGTTGGTTTTACTTCTTCAAACTCGCAGGACTCCATGTTTTCTTTGACTTGCAGGAAAGAACGAAGCAAGTCTTGCTTCAATGTTTCAACTACAAAAGCCCATGGGTTTGCCAACAAGACACTCTTGTCCTTGCAGTTTTCTACAGTGGAAAATATTATAAAATGTTTACTATAGCAAAATAACTCAGATATTAGAATAATAAATTAGATGAAATGCCAAGAAGCTAAAACCCTTAGTAGTTTTCCCTACATTCTGAAAAAATTTGGCCCAAAAAAAGATGTAAAAAGCATGCTTTTAAAAGGTGGCAAACATGCCATCGGTAAGTAATCCATAAACAAAATCAAGATTTTCAGATAATTTGGAAATACATTGAGTAGGAGTACAATGTTCAGCAAATAGTATTCAGACAAAGTACAATCTCTAAGGCACAAGGTATAACTAATTTCTGTAATCTATGGTTGATGGTTCAATATTATAGGTTCAAATAGCATGAAACAAATACCAGTATGCCACAACATCATTTCCCACAAGAAACCAGAATAAGAGTTCGTTTTCTATTTAAGCATCAAAATTTGTACCAAGAAGGCGTAAAAGAAAGCACCATTGACCATCATCGTCATTTTTACTTATAAAACCAGTAAAAACAGAATATTGCAAACTTCAACTGTTTGTACGTTATGCAACAATACCAGTACCTTCCTTATTTCCTAGAAAGGAACAGCAAAAAACTTCAAAAAAATAAAAATACCATCACTTCTACGATAAATTCGCGCTTCAAATATTATAACTTCCTATTACATAAAAAAAAGGAAAATATGAGGGAAAATTACCAGACCTTTGAGACGATGATCGCTGATTACCAAAGTGAGCGGCTTTTCACCAGATTTTCGTTCATAGGATTCCAAAGCCACCGGCTCGAGCCTTGTAACAGTGGGAAGGAGAGTATCATCTGCAAAACCAACGGCGAGCCACTTGGATATGGCATTTTCACCGTACACAATGCTCTTCACCGCCCCTTTATCGTTAATATCTTTCGAATTGAAATTCCTTTTTCTCTTGAAATTAGGGTTCACAGATTCAGGCGGCAGCGTTGGTGATGGTGCGGACGATGGGCCACCGACCTTCGAGTGCCGCATGTGCGGCGGAACATACGCCATGCTAAGACTGGTTGATTACTGTGTGAAAGTTAGGTGCTGGCAGCCATTGGAGGCAATGTGTGAAGCTTAAACCTTCAATTTTCAGATTAGCCTATCAAATATGAAAAAAATGTTATTTGACCACCTCACGTGTCAAATTTTGTTGCCTCAGTCCCTTTTGTGAAGGATTCAATTTTCAGTTTATCCCATCAACTGTGAAAAAATATAATTTGACCATTATGTATAAAAAATTGTTAGTTCAATCCCTTTGTTTGGTATCCGTCCATATTTAGACCATTAGAACTAGAATTCTACCAGTCGTGAAAAAAATTAGATTTTCTTGTAAATTTTGATAAAAATTAATGCACTATGTGGTTAAAAAATTGTGAATTCAATTATACATGTGATTAAAATAAATTATTGAATTTGACTTAAATTCTAATAAACTACTATAGTTGAACCAAACAGAAACTAAATAAGTCAAACACTGCTCTATTGAATATTTCATTGACTTGAACTCCAAAGTTTCATTGAACGAGACACCACGTCGAAATCTAGTGTATTCGACCAAGAATTGATCCACATTGATTTCACATCAATAGTAAATTCCACACATACTGCAAGAAGATTAAGAGGAAGATGAACAAAGTCAAGTTACACTTAGAATTAAGCATGAAATTACACCTTTTGGACTTTCAACTGTTGAGTTGATTATTTAAGTTCCCATTTTCCGAACTTACATAAATTCCATACTTGTAATGTGGAGAAATTAGGTGATGGGGTTTGAATCCAAAGACATCAAAGAGCTAAGATTCATGGGGTGCATGTAAGTGTTTGAGCCCTTCAAGATTTGTTTCACAATGAGTCTGTTGGCTTTTTCTGATGGATGAAATGCATCCCAAAACACATACTCATCTCTGTTTGGGCACAAGCTTGACAGTGGAGTGCAAAGACCCATTCCATTGTATGGTCCTTGCCCACAACAAGCCATCTTTGATGTTGTAAATCCTGCACAATAATTTTAGAAGCATTAATTAGTTTTTTTTTCCTTATTTTTGGTGAAAAATTAACCATCATTCAAGCATGAGATGATCTCAAGATTTACTATTTATGAAACCATTCTTTCAATTTTTGATAAATATTTAAATAAAATCATCATGCAAATGCGCAAGACCTTCAATTTGGTCTTTCAAGGTATGTTTGACATACTGAACTAGATAGGATAATGCATTAACATTTTACACATATTTGTTCATTAGTTTTGTGCATTTTTATCAAGTCCAAGTTACCACATCAAACACGTCCTTAGTTACTTCACTTCATTGCACCCCTTTACTAATGGTAAAGGATTATTAATGCCTTTGTTGGCTTAGTTATTAATATTTTCATGTATAGTCGTGAGTCGCACAAAGTGATAATCTTTTTTATGTGACTCAATTGTTCTATTTATGAAAGACATTCTTGTAACTTGTGAAAATTAAAGGACTCGATTAGTCTTGCGTATTGGAATTTTAGTTTGTGTTTCATGCAACAACCACTAGGAAAGTAGGAACAAAATGACATAAAAACTTGTTATCGAAGTTAGCTTAACACATTAATGGGTCACGAGGTTCGGGGAGAAAGGAAAATTGTAGTGTACGTACCATACGCTTTAGGATTGGTAATGAATTCCAAGTGCATAATGTTAGTGTTAGCTCCAATGAAGGCTTTAGTGGATAAGTCTTTGTTGAGAGCATCAAGCATTTGAGCCAGTTGAGGATTGAAGAGTGAAGAAGCAAGTTGCAAATCAGTTGCACATTCACCAGCTCTGCTCCTTGTGGCCAATTCTGCAGGCACACATCCTAAAGGTCCTGTTCCTGTCACTAGAACCTTACTAACTCCAAGTTCGTACAGTCTCTACATTATACATTTCAAAAAAAGCAATATTAGAAAATTGTGCTGTGTGTATAATTTTAGACAAAAATATCTATATAAATTCCACTCAAATATATCCTTATAAAACAAAACTCAACCAAACTTGACTATATTTATGTGTGCGTGTTATGTTTGACAACATGTTAAATGAAATTCAAAATGTCAAAGTATATTCTTATTAACAAAGATTTAGAACCATATGACTTCTAAAACATCAATGTTTTAGATGATAAAAAATTGTTTTTGAACATGTTTTGATAATTTTCTTAGGGTGTGTTTGATTGGGGCCAATTCCATGGCAAATGGAATTCAAATTTCATTTTCCACCCAAACTGTAGTGTTTGATAGCACACTTTTTCCATAGAATTTCATTTTATTGATTGTCTTGAAAATTGTTCTTTTCTTCGTTTTCCTTGAAAACCAACCTACTTTTATGTTTTTTTTTTTATTTTTAATTTTTTTTTTGGTAATGGAAACAAATTCTAAGAATTACTGTAAAAAAATATTTCCCTTTAATCGACAATTTTCATGTAAAATAAAGCCAAACAAACACCGAAAGATAGATAATTTTTTTTTTGTTGGCAATGGAAACAAATTTTATTCCTAATACCAGTAAAATCTCTCTTTAATTGACAATTTTTATGTAAAACAAAGATAAACGAACACCAAAAACTACTTTTGTTTCAACATTTTCCACGTGATTATATCAATCAAACACAATAAATTGACAATTTCCAAGAAAACAATTTATAGACAATTCAATTCCTTGAAATTCTTTTTCTTTCCACCCAAATTCCATCTTTGTAATCAAACGGACCCTTAGAGTTTTTACAGAAAGCTAGCCTAAAGTAACTCTCTCGAAATTCTTCTATAAAAAGCAGAAGTCTTGCTAAATGGGTCTTTATTTAACATCAAACTCGACAGGGGAGAGAGGGATTTTTACCTTCAAAATTTTTTTGTACTCGGAAATGAGAAAGGGGATATAAGCTTTGAGGCCAAATTGGCGAGACCTTGCAGTAGAAGGCAGCAAGTAATAGTTATTGACAAAATCATTGCCACCCAATGTAAACAAAACCAGTGCTTCCTTTATGAGTTTCTTCATCGCCGCTTCTCCTATAAGCGCCTTCACTCTTTCTTGGTACTGCTGGAAATAGTCTAGTTGTTGGGGAACTCGAATGATGTTTACCTGGATTGGACAAGATTGAACAAAATTTGTCAATCGTCACATCAAATCTAGTATACAATATAGTTAAGTCGTAACATAATCAAACCGTGATTAGGCAACTTACAAACTGGATTCCAGTGTCATTAAGTATGCCAACCCCAGCAGATGCAAAATTGGCACCAATTAGTAATTTCTTCCCTGTGAGATCTGGACTCAAGTATGGCAAGTTAGGCTCCCAACCCATCTCTTCACCTAATATAACAGAACACAACAAATCAAAGCACAAGGTTACACACACATAATTACATGTTCACATGTATGACATATACAAATAAAACATGCATGCATGTATGACATCTGTCATTTAATTCTATGAAATTCCAAGAATATCTGTTGCTGTCCGAAAGAATTTTCATGTTCTATTTTCTCCATGCATTAATTTTCCCTCATAGACTTCTCTCAACTAGTAATTTTCTTGATTGGAGTAATATATTATATAAATTTTCTACAAATTACCAAGAAAACACCTGATATTAGGTTACAAATACTTATGAAAAGATCAAAAATATACTATAAACCTTGAAACCCTAAAATATCACAGAGTAAACTAAAGTATTTACATTTACATATATGAATATAATCAAAGTAAGACAGATTGAAAAAACATTAGAAATTTTACTGATCAAGTCAGGAATGTTAAGGCCGTTAGAAAAACGGCCGGTGGGGCAATGTGTGGGGTAATCAACGCCGTAAGGAGGTGAATCCGCCCTTGCGCTGGTTGCCAAGTAGTTGTTGTTTCCGATATCGACCAACGAGTCTCCAAACACAAAGAATGCTGGATGTCCACCACTACCAGCTCCTTCACAAACAGTATCATTTCCAACTGCCAAAATCAGCACCAAAATAATTATAAAACCTGCATCCATTTGATCAATTGTATATTTAGAACTTTTTTATTATTTATGAATATAATTATAAGTGCATACACATGGATAGAAATTTTCGAGGAGAAATTTTTGTGTTTTGGCTTCAAATGAAAACGATATATAAATAGATGTACGTGTGAATGTGTTTATATGCATTACGTATGCATGCAACTGACCTGTAGAATTATTAGTTAAATGACAAGAAGTATTAAATTTGGGAGATGTATCTCAAGTTTATTTTCATACGTTCGGGGTTAAACTATTTAAAGAATAAAACCATTTATTTTATCTAAGTTAAAAACTTATCCTAGCTGACAGAGATTTGGAATGTATTTATTCTCAGTAGTGGAATTCATATTTTCTTAGGTGGTTGTTTGTGATAGTTTAAAAGGTGCTAAAATATTTCATGTGATAAATTAACTACGTACTTTTCAACGACACATTTCATTAATTTTTATAAAAATTTACTAAATTTGTTTATCAAACAATCCTCGATTGTGATTGAGATAATGGATATCAATGATTTTTGCACACTTTCTTATATTGTTTTTTTGTCGTTATTCGTTGAGATCATGTTGAAACTTACGAATATGTTGTGGACGGATATTTTGCATACTTAGAAGTTATGCCGTTACTTGGTTCGCAAAAAAAAAAATAAATAATAAATAAAAAATAAAATAAAATAAATAAAATTTAAATTTAAATCAAAGTGAATAATATTAGTCATATTTTTTCAACCACACATTCCATAAACTTTTATCAAAATTCACTAAAGATATTATTTTTATTTACACCAACCACGGGTAATATAATTTCTTGCATGGCAATTGTGGTACGAGGCTAAAAGACTAAAAGTGGAGAATCAAAATTATTATTAACTTAAACAACATTAAGAATTTCTCAATAGATTCATTCCCACGGTTTGATTCCTCTCGGTAAAACGTGGCGTGTTCAAATTTCTGATAATTAATGTCTTCCCAATCCGTTAGGTGAAAATGCAGTTTTACATTTATTGACAATTAAATGTAATTTTGGATGACTGTAACCTTAATAAAAAAAAAAAGAAAAAAAGATTGAACCCCAATCTTGAAGACACCTATCGTCCCGCCCCTAGAACTTTGTAAGGGAGGTAAATCGCGGGATGAGCCCCAGCAGGTTAGGGAACAAAAGTTGTCTGTACACTGTACTTACAAAGAGTCCAATTCCATATCTCAGGAATCGAACCCCCACACTGCGGTTGCCAATAAGGAGTAAGATAATCTTACTCTTGTCCTTTGTACCACTGGACTATGCCCCGAGGGTTCTGTAACCTAATTAACCCACGTGGTAGTTGTAATACCACCATCTTGAATTTCAAGTTGTGTCCAACATTTTACTTGCCGGTAATTCGACTAAAATTAATTGCTTTACATTTGTTTTGAGTTTCAAATAAAAAGAAAGAAAAATGATAAAATAAATAAGGAAAATAATTTAAGAAATTGTCATTTAAAACTAATTGTTTCGATTTTCTGGATTTTTGTGCAGAGAGAGGTAGAGGAAGTAATATTTATTTAATAATTTGACGATCTCATTCTCTGTTTTCCATGAACACAGACGAGTTTGTCTCACTACATAAATTTGAATTTATTTATTTACATTTTTTTCTTTTCACTTCATTCGTTTGCGTGCATTGGTGACATTTTATAGCATATTTGATCATTGGATAGACGAGAAACAATTAGGGTGTGTTTGATCCTTTCACAGTAACGAATAAACTTGTACAATAGAATAAAAGTAATTTTACCTTTTGTTTTGTTCCAAAACGGTGTCCATAGATCGATGTTGTCTTTTCAGATCAATATCGCATTTCCAACTCCTATAAAACTACTGTTTACTTACCAATATAAAAGCGTATTCATTTTGTAACAATACATAAAGAAATGAATTTAAATTTTAAATCGAGCATTTCTATTTTAAAGATAAAACAAGCAAAACAGCTTGAATTACAAAATAAAGTTACAGATAGAAAAAAAATCCAATAAAAAAATACTTAAATAAAATAAGCACGTCATAATTCAAGAAATTTCGAACATCGAATTTGAACTTACGAAAAGGGATTTTCATTTTAAGTCCTGGAATCCATTTTTTTTGGGATCAGACTACATCGAATTTGAACTTACGAAAAGGGATTTTCATTTTAAGTCCTGGAATCCAATGCCATGACAGTGCTGAGGTTCATGGGGTTCATAAACTTATTTGAACCAGTAAAGATTTGTTGCACAATAATTCTGTTGGCCCTTTCGGTCGGATGGAAAGCATCCCAAAATGCGTACACGTCTCTGTTTGGGCATAAATTGGATATTGGTGTGCACAGTCCAAACCCATTGTATGGTCCTTGTCCACAACATGCTATTTTTGATGTAATAAATCCTGCCAAAACCAAACATTTTTCTTAATTAGGAATCAAACCATTATTTTTAAACTCGATTCAAATCGTAGGGTAACCGAGTCATTGGTCAAACTTATAGTTATTATGTACTAATTGGACTAGTTTCAACTAATATTTCACTCATGCATATTGAAACTCATACACAAATTGTTACTCGAGAATACAAGTGCATGCACAAAAACACTCAACTATAGTTTTTTTGGAAAGGACAGTCTTATTTAAATCATTTAGCATGATCTCCTCGTGATGTGGTTAATATTGTTTATTTGACTTTAACTTAAATTAAAATCAGATTTTAATGTCTTCCAAACAATTTCTATATTTCACTCATGCATATTGAAACTTATACACACATTGTTACTCGAGAATACAAGTGCATGCACAAATACACTCAACTTTAATTTTTTTGAAAGGACAATCTTATTTAAATTGTTTAGCATGATCTCCTAGTGATGTGGTTAATATTGATTATTTGACTTTAACTTAAATTAAAATCAGATTTTAATGTCTCCCAAACAAGCTCTATATTTCACTTATGCATATTGAAACTCATACACACATTGTTACTCGAGAATACAAGTGCATGCACAAATACACTCAACTATAGTTTTTTTGAAAGGATAGTCTTATTTAAATCGTTTAGCATGATCTCCTCGTGTTACCTTTTTCGAAAGACTAATATGTGACTTTTTGTATAAATATATTCCAAAGCTTAGAAAGTATATTAATGACAGTACATTTAATAGCTGAACACTGTTGCATCTCTAATCTTAAGGGGTAAATCAGTGGTCAAGTCTTGATTTGCTCCCCAATGATCATTAGTTCGAACTCTCTCAAGACCATTGAGATAAGTATCTAACTGTAAACTTAGGGTTCCGTAGGATTAATTGAGGTGTGCATAAGTTGACCCGCACACCACGGTCATTAAAATAAAAATAATAAAAAATACTGTTGCATCCCTACTTGGCTACTTGTGATGAAACTTCAATGATTTCCCAAATCTCCAACACTTGTGAATCTTGGTGAGGGGCATGGGAGTCAATTTTAAGTTTTTAACAATTAATGTTACCTCGCCTTATCATAAACTGACACAAGATCCTGGTGGTCCTAATTTATGGTTTTCTAGCCATCCTAGTTCTGCGTGTTATGAAATATTTGGATATGTAACATTGTACAAGATTCTAAAATAAGTATTATACTGTCTAACTAATTAGTAGCTAATGGTGTCATAATAGGTTGTTGGACCAATCTAAGAGGGTGACTAGAGGTGCGTGTGCCCATCCCAGCACCTTGGGACCGGCCTACGGGCCATAGAGTGCTGGTCTGCTCAAAATTTGGAAAGGCCGGCTGCTACAAAATCCAGCCCGGCCCAGTTAAACATCTAGCTGTAGATTTTTTTTTTTTTTTTATTATTGCTGACTTATTGAATGAGAAAAGGCAGTATAGAAGTAAAGTAAATAAACATACCGTAGGTCTGAGGATCAGAAATAAAGTTCATGTGCATTTCGAATGTGTTTGCAGCTATGAAAACGTCTGCTCCAAGATCACTATTTAGACTACTAAGCATTGCAGTTAGCTGCGGATTATACAATGCAGCAGCTCTCTGCAATTCCACGGCGCATTCGCCGTCTCTGCTCCGTTGGGCTAATTCCGCCGGAACACAACCCATCGGCCCAGTACCCGTCACAAGGACCCTTCTAGCTCCCAAGTCGTATAGGTTCTGCCAGAGTAAAACTTGATTTTATGTTAGTGTCATCTAAATTTTGGAATGAACATGAAAATAGCGAGACGAGTACATGATGATTAAGTCCCTGTTTTGCCCCAATTTTATTTTTAAATTCATTTTTTTCTTTTTAAATCACACATTTTATAGGAACCCACGACTTTTTCAACAACATATTCCCCAATTTATATCAAAATCTGCTAAAACTCTGATTTTCAAACAAACCAAACGAGGGCTAAGTATAAAGGGTGCATATTACTGTCAAACTCCTGCTTAATCGTCGCATATGACCATTTTTTTAGTGGGAGAGAGGGTGATCACTCTAAATTCTTCTTCATTGTAGTTCAAACATGTAATGACAGTGGACACAACCCTCATATTGAAAATAATCACTATACATTCTTGTGTAATTAATCGTTTTTATTTATTATATAAGACTTAATCCACACACATTGCATTGTTTGGCTACTATTTATAAATAATTTATTGGTCAAAACACATTTTTCCATATATTTCGTGAAAGTCCCTGCTTGGTGTACAGTATTTGTCAGCCCCCAATCTATCACAGGGGGCTAGCTCGGCCCCTATACAGGGCCCCTTTTCCTTCCGTGAATTCTATAAGTACTATTTGCTATCATTCATTTTGACTCATGCTTAAAAAACAGGGTATGGTAAATATTGGGACAAAAGGCTCAGATAGTTTTCACTTTATGACCATTTTTGGGGTTTATCAGTTGTGCAACTAGCTGCTGCTGTTGCTGTACCATTCTATCTCATAATAAATTCATAGTAGCTTAGGAAAATTTAATGATTATGCGAAAAAATCAGCAAAGTATTGCCTTTCTGACCTTCTAAACATTATTTTTCCTGTGGGTAGCTCGTGACTGTGATTATTATCCTGCTTCTTATAACATCTTACTTTACTACAACATGCAAGAAACAATAGAAAAGCAACTCTACCTGTGTCTCTTCATAATCTGTTTCCTACTCGCAGGGGTAGATTTAGGATTGGACTCAAGACCGAGCTACAAAATTTCAAACTGGGCTACTATGCTGAAAAAAATTTTTTTACACATAAAAAACTAATTTTTTTCCCCAAAAAAAAAATAAAAAAAAGCTATTGGGCCTGAGAGGGGGAGGGCTTGGACCCAGCCTCCCCCCCCCCACCCCCACCCAAAAAATCCACCTCTGCCTACTCGAATAGAATTACTGATCTTTACAATTGCAAATTGACCTAATAATTTTAATAGAATAAAGAATTTATTTATGGAGTCTTTTTGTGTTCAAGAGAGGTGAAAAAAAGAAAAAAAATCAATCAAAACTTGTATTCTTCTCTCCTATACATTGAAAACGTGCAGACACGAGTAAACATGACTCTTTCACTTTGAGGTTGAACCACCAAATTCTGTGTCCATTTTGTAAAGAACCAAGAGAACGTACCAGCAATATCTTGCGATACTCCACTATGAGATAATTAACGAAGTCTGGGAGAGAAAATTGTCGAGATCTTGCAGAATAGGGTACTAGATAGTAGTTGTTGACAAAATCATTGCCACCAAGACTTATGAGCACAAGGGCTTCATTAACTAGTCTTTGAGTTTGTTCAGCTCCAACCAGGCCACTTACTCGACTCTGGTACTGTTGAAAGTAATTAAACTGCATCCAGATTCGAATAATGTTGAGCTGCAAAATATCGCGAAAAAACTGGATGAGATGTTTGGCAAAATTTATAAACTAAATTTCATTTTTAACCACACATTTAAACAATAAGTAAATTCTTCCCATACGGTATTTAACTTAAGGCTAAAAAACATGAACATACAAACTGAATTCCAGTATCATTGAGGATTCCAACACCAGCAGAAGCAAAGTTAGCCCCAGCAAGAAGGTTTTCTCCATTGAGAATTTGACTTAAATATGGCAGTGTTGGTTCCAACCCCATTTGCTCACCTGGAAACATACATTATATGGTGTCAATATCAGGCTCTATAAATAATTTATCCAAGTAAAGACTTGGGATACATAAGGGTAATGCGAAACAAGTTAATGCTTTCTAATAACTTAAACTTTTGGATGGCATGATTCAATATTAGTATCATAATAGATAAGAATAGATAAGAACGTGATTCAATATGGTATCATAACAAGCAAAGATCATCTCGACACCACCTATTTACGAAATTTTTTCACTTGAGTGATGTGAAGACAAAAGTTTAAGTAAATAAATTTGTAAAATCTCTAATAGTTTCAAGTTTTGGATGAGGCGATTCAACATGATATTAAAACATGTAAAGATTAGTAATTTAGGTCGATTTAAACTTTTTGATGAAATGGATACGTAAAAGCCCTACCAATAAGATCTGGAATGTTGAAGCCATTGGAGAAGCGGCCTGTTGGGCGACGAGTTGGATAGTCGATTCCATAAGGGGGGGAGTCTGCTCGAGCACTGGTGACTAAATAGTTATTGTTGCCATTGTCAACAAGAGAATCACCAAAAACGAAGAATGCTCGAGCCTCGGCCTGTGGAGTTATAGAAGAAAATGTAAAGAAGTGCAGGCACAGAAGTATCCATGCAGTTAGATAGAATGAGTTGCAGGCTGCAGCCATGAATGGCGATTCAAAATCTGAAGGCCTAATGACTGGGCAAATTCTGTTTAGAAGGTCACACAAGCTTGAAGGTGCTCCTGTGAGAAGGTGTTCAATGGCCTTCTATAAATACAATTTCTCTCCCATCACAGAAACTACTGCTGCAGTTATCAAATTTATCTATTTATATTATCTTCAACGCATTGTCTCATATGTCCCTTTTTATTGACAGGTTAACACATTAAAATTTTTCATAAATAGATGTCTATCAGTATCTTTATTTGTTCTCACGAACATGGTTGGTAGGGATTAAAATTTAGAGTTTTAGCAAAGTTATAGTTAGCAATTAATTTTATCCATATTTAAAAAATCTGATTTTAATCCCAACCAAACGAAGGCATAATATTGAATCCCTTTTGTCTAAAAGCTTTATGGATGAAGTATTGGCGCCTAGTTTTCTTGTGTTTGCCGTTTAATTAGTACCTAGAAATTTAAAGAGCAACTACTGGTTGTACTTGTTAGAGTTAAGTCTCAACAGTTTTCACTGTTTTCCCTTTTTGTCGCTTTTAATTGGCTGCAGTGGTTCTAAGTAGGCTTTTAAATATGAATTGTCCGACATATCATGTATCATGTCATATATTTAAAATTTAAAAATAAACATATAATATTTGAGGATCGACGAATTCTCAACATGTCTACGAGTATTATTGAAAAATCATGTACTAGCGTGTCTTTTTTTTTTTTTTTTTTTAAATCCAGATATCCACCTTACAGTGACTAAATTCTTAAGCTACATCTTGACCCCTCAAGCTGCAGACAAGTTAAACCGCAAGTTGTGCCTCAAACTGATCGGTGCTCAAGAGCCCCCCAACTGATCTGCTAAAGTGCCAAACAAGTCGTTTTTCCCCATCTTTGCACCTTACCTTTCAGTAGAGCTCCTGTCTTTCAGGATAAATCATGCCTTCCAGGAGAATATCTACCTTCCAAAAGCCTTCCAGGAATCGAACTCACGACCTCTGATCTGCCAATCTTGAAACGCCCTCATCTTTGCCAGTGGGAATGTGCCTTGGGATGCCTAGCGTGTCTTTTTCGTGTTAGTGTCGGGTATCCATGCTCCTTAGATTTTGACTGCTCATATTTTCAGTGGCCATTACTTTGGAAGTGACAACAGTCCTTCAATTTATGGGCATATATAAATGCAGCATTAACTATTGTCATCGATTTTAGCAATCATTTTCTAACTAGCGATTGCCTTTCAACATATTCTCTCATTATCAGTTGCAAAAATCCTAATTTGACTAGTTTATACATTTAATTTGGAGACTACATTTTGTCCATGTTTAATCATTGGAGAGTATCGTATAGAAAGCGATTGTTTGTCAACTACATTATGCCCTTGTTTGGTTGGTATTAAAATCAGTTTTTAGTAGATTTTGATAGAAATTTATGAAATGTGTAATCGAAAAGTTGTGGGATTCATAAAATATGTGGTTGAAATTAATTGTTGACTTTAACTTTGATTAAAATTTAGATTTTAATTGATACCAAAAGATATGAAAAGTTCACAATTATCTTTTTTGGCAAAGACTAGTGGGGTTGTGTTGAAAATGGACAAAGTGAGTCAATTGAGTGTGTCGATAACATTTCAACATCAAGAGTTATCAAACAACTACGAAACCCTATTTAGTAAATGGAAAAGAACCCATTTATTGAAATAAATTTTTTTGAAACCTTTAGAAAGGTTAATTTGTTATGAGCTCACATTTTTATTCTTCTTATACAACTTTCTTTCTAACACATGCTTTTGAAATCTTGCTCTTGTAAATGAGACGCGATACATATTCAATAGACATTATTAGTCCCTTGGTTTAATTTTACCCAAAAACAATTAATTTTAAAAGGCATGAATAACCTTTAATAATTCTATATTACATATTAAATCCCATAAATAAAAGGCACATAAATATAGTGGGTAAATATTGCAGCCACTGCATTTCCTAATTAATTAATATTTCTGTCCTCTTATATTAAATTGCTTCACCTACCTTCACAATTTTATGACATTTTATCTTGTCCCAAATTAATTCTGACCAAGTGGGATAAAAATAATGGATGGAACTTCCCAATTCCAAATGAAACTTTGGTTATTTTTTATTGCACCCAATTACATGGAAAATGGAAATTAAATTTAAACTTTTCAATTTTTTGTTGTTTGATTAGCAAAATTTTCCCTAGAATTCGAATTCCATCTTCTATGCCACCTAAACTAATTTCCATGTTTTCCTTCGGTTACTGCAGCACTTCTTTTTTTTTATTTTTTTTCGATTTTTTTTTTGGGCAATGGAAACAAATTTTAAAAATTATTGTAAAAAAATATTTCCTTTTAAATGACAATTTTCATGTAAAACAAACTCAAATGAACACCAAAAGATAGATGATTTTCTTGAAATTTTTGTTTTTTTTTTGGTGTGTGGGCAATAGAAACAAATTTAATCCTCAATATCAGTAAAATATATTTCTTTAATTGACAATTTTCATGTAAAACAAAGTCAAACGGAGATCAAAAAATACTTTTATTTCAACATTTTTCACATGAAAAATTATCCCAATCAAACAAAATAATTTACAATTCTCAGGAAAACAATTTATAGACAATTCAATTATCTGAAATTCATTTTCAATTCCATCTTTGAAATCAAACGGACTCTTATAGTCGATCATCCAAGCTTCATTTACCATATAAATCTTGAACAAGCATTAAAGGATGTTTAATTTAGGATTTTCAGAATAGAATTGTTGGTCCGAATCTGTGTCTGATTGTTGATCATATGTTCGGTTAACCTAAAAAGTTAACTTATAAGTAATTATTTAACGTCTAATCTTGAAAAAGACTAATTTGCATGCAAATTTTCGATTACTTGGAGACTCAAATTTTAAATAGTTTAGGGAACTAAAACTTATTTTTTAAGGTATATGGAAAACCCATAATTAAACCAGATAGGAAGTCCGACCCCAATTTTTCCAAAATTATATAATATTTGAGCCATGCACTTGTTTTATAATTCATTATTGGTGCATATATATATATATATATATGGAAAGTAATTTGTTTATCTATCAGTATAAGGTAACAAGTTCTAATCTTAACTAAACTCGTCATAGTATTGAACTTCATTTTGTTACAATTCGATCACTTCATTTATATTCTAGTTTCAATTAAGTCACTTAATTAAGAGAAGGAATAATTGCAATGTTAATTCCCTACCTTTAGAACTTGTAACAAATTGCAATTTAGCTTTTAACCTGCACATTTGAAAAGTCAGAATGTTACTAAAAAACTCTTATATTTTTATTTTTAATTAAATAAACAAAAAAAGAAAGAAAAAAAGAGAGAGAATGAAATATACAAAGATGTAATGCAATAAAATTCTCAACAACAGCACATTTAATTTCCATATTTATTTCGTCCTTTGTTGGTCACTATATTACTGCAGGAAGTAGCTGGATTCCTTGAGGTCGATTATAATGGCTGTTTCAAGTGGTGTCTGCACTGAGCCTCCTGATTTTTTAAACATTTTTGGCTGAGTTTTGAAATATAAATTTACTTACCAGTAAAAAAGTAATTTTTATTGATTAAAATTAAAAATAATTACGTTACTTACTATGACATCAGTATGAGTTACTTTGTAAATAGTAATCTTTTTGTTTCATACATAATTTTGTATAAATTATGCATTTGGAGTTCTCTGGTTTGTAAAGAAGTTCAAATTTCATTCCAACGCACTTTATTTTGAATAGTTGTGTTTGGAAGGGCTGATGTACCCTGTTTTAAATTATATGTATTGGTTGGAGAAAGTTGATAAATTTTCAGGTGATTTTAGTCCATATTTTAGAGGAAACTCTGTCAAATTTTTATAAAATTATGTCACAGTCAAAGCAAATCATAATCGTTTTGGTGGTGGATCCGGCATTTAGCTGGCATCCCTCATCAGCGCACAACACGTGTTAGGGCCATTAGGGTGATTCGGAAAGGCAAAATCAAAATGTTTGGGGACTATAAAGTTATTTAAACGTAACTAACTTTACTCATTTGAAATATGTCGAACCATTTTAATATCAAAATTCCGAGACGCACTTTAACAAGGCTAGAGAGCAGTCTCTAAAGATTTTAAAACATCCCATTTGTAAACAAGACAGTCAAGACTGGTAGCTAAATTTGCATTGTAATTAAATGTGAAAATTAGGTGTGGGTATCTCTCCAAAGCGTAGTTAGTTGTGGTCTTGGGTTCTTTACTTTTAACAGTGAATTTTTCGATCCTTCATCCTTTTCAAATTTGTGAATCTGGATCCCTACATGAAAAAATCGCCACATAAACATTAAAATCGCACATGATTTTCATGTGACTTAAAGATGGACATCGGTTATTTTGAGATTTTACCCTCTAACTTTAAATCATGTGAAATTGTCGTGCGATTTTAATGTTCACATTATCAAGTTTTGCTTTGGTGGAAACTCAACTAATCCCATGTAAATAAACTTGTCTTCTTGATAATAAATCTTTTTTCTATTTATAAGTCCAATATCTTAAAGAATAAAAAATTTCTTTTATGTCCTCCCTCCAGTCTAGTGGAAATCATTGTAAATGAGTCGAATTGTAAGGCATCTTCATTTTGTTAAATTATTAACTTTCTAGTCGAGCTAATCTATTTTTATTTCTTCTTCTACTAAATTACAAATAAAACTTTCAAAATAATAATTGCTATTGGACAAAAAAAGCACCAAGTGTTAAGAAACTGAGAGCAACAAAATTCTTGAGATCATAAAACTAAAGTCAAGCTAAGATGTTCTTCACCCAAAACCAAAAATAATAATAATAAGGGTAATTAGCACAAAACATCCCTACTTTTCGATATTTTTGTGGAAAACGTCCCTACCTTTCATTTTTTGGCGAATTACACCCTTGCCTTTACCTTTTTTTGGGCAAAACGTCCTTTTGTCAACTCTCCGTTAAAATGCTCCGTTAAATCAAAAAGGTAATTAGCACAAAATGTCTCTACCTTTCAAAGTTATTTTGCAAAACGTCCCTACATTTTATTTTTTAGCATAATTAGCAGAAAATGTTCCTACCTTTCAATATTATTGTGCAAAACGTCCCTACCTTTTATTTTTAGCATTTTTACCCGTACATTTCACCTTTCATTGCGCAAAAGGTCCTTCTCATCCATTTTTTCAATAAAATGATGATTTTACCCTCCTATTGAAATAAAACAAAAAGAAAAGAAAAAAATAATTAATTAATTGCAATCNCTCTCTGACAAAGTAGAATTACTTGAAATACATACATTGATATCGAAGATTGTTTACAATTATAGGACCCATGCACAAACTACTTGCAAATCTTCAACCTTTAACTATATTTACATCTCTATCAGTCTCTCTCCCCACAAACAAGGGGACGGAGGATAACATTAAAAGGTCAAAAACCAAAAAGCTTATAAAATTCAAAAACCCTAACAGCAGTGGCAAACCCTTTTATATTATGGACTTAAAGAAGCCTGCATCCAAAAAACAAAAAGGAGCTCAAGAAAATTACTAAAAAAGCCAAGAAATCAAAATTAACAGTATTTTTAGAATTGCATACCACAGTCGAGATTTAGTAGGTCCATGGAACTTGACATTCGTCCCAATGAGTGTTGAAATCTCCACCATAAGAGCGGTGAAGATCATTCTCCGAAGGAATTTCAGGCCAAATCAGATTTTGTTTCTCATCAAGCAGGGTCGGCGCCGGATTATCCCACGGCACATACTCCCCATTAATATCTCTAAATATGCAAGCTTCATCCAGCACTGAATTCTGATTTTCATCCTCATTTTCGTAATAATCCGGCACAGAAAAATCACTGGTAGTGAAATTACTTGCCGAGGATGAAGAAAATTGGTGCCCATGATCATCAGGCAAATTGAGTTTGGCGCAACTCCCATACAGCTTTCTGGCTGCATCATCATAAGCTCGCGCCGCCTCCAGTGAAGTATTGAAGGTGCCGAGCCAAACTCTTGCACCGCGATTTGGCTCCCGGATTTCGGCCACCCATTTGCCCCATGTCCTCTGCCGTACGCCTCTATAAGTGCAGAAGGCATTATCAGGCCCGCCTTTGCCTCTCATGCACCCTTTTCTCGAACGGCCCACTGTGGATTTTTTTATGGCAATTTTGGCCTCCCCTTTTTGTTCCTTTCCTGTTCCAATTCGTAAATCCAGTCGAAGACTCTCTGCTCTTTCCATGGCGTACGAATTTTTCTAACAGGATCAAACACGAGAGAAAATCTAATGATTTATTGGGAAGGATTCCAAGTGTCTGTGCATGCTCAGGGTGAATTGAATGTTTAGATTTTATAGTGGGGAGATAGGTGGACAAGTGTGAAACATGACTATGTGCAAAGTGACAGGTGGCAATGAAAGAAGCATAGACTGTCAATCTGCGGCCCTGTCATCCTTCAACCTCAAGATTCTTTCTACAGCTCTTTACTTAAGAATTTTGAATAAACCTCTAAGAAATTGGATGAAACAGATAACATCTGGGTAAATTGTACAGATGGATACGTGTGAGAAATTGTATATTGCCGCTTGGCTCTGGAGGATTAGAATTGGCCAACAAAGTAAAGATAAGGAGTTGTACACTGGATTCTGTGCATGTGTCTATGTGTCAACCTCTGTGGAGGCGTGGGATTTGGGAGCGAGCCAGATGTTCAATAGACAAAACAGTGGATATTGCATGGCGTCAGGCTTGTGTCTCTGTGTAGTTGGGCGATGGAGGATTGGAAACAATCATGCTATAAGTACAGACAATCTTGACATAAAATATTTATAGACAA